TAATAATAAATAAAAATATTTAAAAAATACACTTATTTATTTTTAAATATGTCCTTATTAGTCATTTAATGTTAAACAACAACTGTTAATTATTGTATGGTCAAATAGTTATATTTATCGAATCCGTTATTTACCATTCGCTACCCACTTTCCGCTATCCGTTGTCATGACCCAATTTTAATTGGGGCTAAATGATAAAATTAGAAAGCAATGGACTATGTTTTATAAAGGCTGAAAACTTGAAGGGCTGAGAAGAAAAATGGCAAAACGACGTTGTTTTGACCAATGGGCTAAAAAATAAAAAGGGGCTGGGTTTAGACGAACCCTAGCTCTCAATTTTTCTTGCTTCCTTTTGCTTTGCCGCTAGCCACTCTCCCAAAAACTCCCAAAATCTTTTGATTTATCTCTAAATCCATTCAAAGTTTGGATAGATCACAACAACACAAGAAGAGATTTTCGGATTTGAAGTCTTTATCAAGAACTGAAGGGGATGTTTTCGAAGTCGATTCAAATGAGAAGTCCTAATCTTTAAAAGGTATGAATCTAGTCTTGAAAAAGGGAAAACGTGTAAAAAGATTAGATTAGTTTTAGAATTCCAATTTCAAATAGGATTAGATTATTATTTGTAATTTTGGGGATTGAGATTATAATTTAGAATTAGAAAAGGATTGGAGTCCTCTCTATTTTTATATAAAAGGGGAGGGCCTTCAGCTTCAGAGGGAGGTCGAAAATTGGGAGAAAAATCGAGGAGGGAGAAGGGAAGAGAATTGGTGAGCCTGGAAGGAAAATTGGAGAGATTGAGAGGAAGTACAACAGCTTGTAACCAGAACTTCAAGGAAATAAAGCTTGATTTTTCATATTTTTCACTTGTGCATTATTAATTTTTTTGGGTGTTGTTCTGTCATGTTCTTTTTTTTTATCGGTAATTGCTTTGGTTTCCTTGTTAAATTGTTTCCTTCTACAATGGATCTTGAGAAAATTGGTAGAAGCCTTTCATATTTTCATTCTTCATTTTGTTTTCCATCTGCTCTGTTCGTCAGTTTGCTGCCTCTCATAGTTTCTTTCTTCATTTGTACTGTTTATCACTTTGCGTCATCACCAACATGGCTGTTTTGTTTTCATATATTTTCTTTAATTGAATTAGATTTTTAGGGAGGAAAGACAAGGAGGATGTGATTAGATCAGTTTAATTAAAGTAATTAAACAAAACCCATGAAATAGTCTTGTGCTCAATATCATTTTCCTTCTTATGAAATTTTGTTTTTTTTTTTGGTTTGTTTATCTTTAGGAATGCATTAGATTAAAAAAAGGTTAAATACCCTTTTTGGTCCCTCTAATATAGGAAAAAGTCTCTTTTTGGTCCCTATACCGAAAAAATCCCTTTTTTGATCCCTAAATTTTAAAATCCGGCCCCTTTTTAGTCCCTTCGTCAATTTTTGCTCGCGTGGCACGTTAAGTTAACTGGAACAACTGACGTGGTATGCCAACATGTAAACAATGCTGATGTGGACTTCTAACACCTTCCAAGTCACACTCCACGTCACTCTCCCGCGCGGGAAAAGGAAAAAAACCATAAACAATGGGACCCACATTCTGAAATACGCGGTAAATAAAAGTCGATTGTCCCTAAACCCTACCAGAACATAACCCTAAATTCTCCAATTTTTTTTTTTCCAGTTCCTTGTCCAGAAATCATCTTCTTGCTTTCGAGAAATCATCTTCTAGCTTTCGAAAGTCTTGTTTTTTTGTTCAAAATGGAGGGTGGGCTTTCGTGAAGCAACTCGTTCACTGATTCTGCATCAACTAGCAGCTTTCTTGGAAAAAAATATGTTTGCAGGTGCGGTTTGGATGCTGTTTTGAGAACGTCACTGACTTACCAAAACATGGGAAGAAGATTTTGGGGATGTCATAAATTTGAGGTGAGTTGTTCATGTTTAGAACGAAAATTTTTGAAAAAACCCTAAACTACTAATTTCATGCTATTTAGGTTAGGAAGGTTGGGAAGGCTGGGAATGCATGCGATTTCTTCCACTTTCTTGATGGTGATGAGGTGATTGAGGGAAGAGCCAAGGATCTCCTGCTGCGACTTAAAGATAAGCAAATTAGGCTTGAGAAAGATATTCAAAGTTACAAGGAAGAAAACGAAAATCTTATGGCTGAAAAGGGGAAACTGTTGCAGGAAAATGCAGACTTGATGTCCGAAAATGGGAAATTCCTGCAAGAAAATGGTGACTTGAAGGTCCAATGTGAGGCATTCGTTAAGAATATCAAAGGCTTGGAGAAGAAAGTGAAGATGAGTGAGAAGATATGTGTCAGAGCACTTATAAGTTGTCAAATATTTTGTGTGGTTTGCATTGTCTGTCTTCTTGTTTATGTGCTTATTGGGTTGCATAGATTGCATTAACATTGTTGGGAAAACTGGGAAAATGACAGGATGGGACTAGTGTCTTTTGTGCATTATTTGCCTTTTTGCCTTTTTATGTAAAAGGAATGTAATTTGTTCCTTATATAAATGGCACATGGTCTATTAATTTGATCTATTCACTGTACAAGTTTAATTTCATACTAGCAAATACACAGCAAAATGTAATTCTCAACCAAAACACAAGACTCTTCAGTCAAGAACAATTTTTGATTTCAAAAGGTTAAATCCAAAATATTTACACCATTTACATCAGTCTGGATATTAAAGGTGTACCAATATACATACAACATGTCCCATGAAGCCATCATATGCACAACAGCATATACACCATATACAAAATAGGAATTCGCATGAAGTTGTCTAAGTTTACATGTAATGATAGGTTAAATGACAAAAAACAAAAAAAAAAAGAGCTTCATTTCTAATGCACCAGTCAACTTCAAATGGCAAAAAACACAACCATCAACACCTTCACCCCCTAGCACTTGACCGTCCACCTTTCCCCGGTCTAGTAGCTGATGAGGTTGATCCTTTCTTTTGCCTCTTCTTGCTCTTTGCTGTTTGGGAACTTTTTTCCTGCTGCATTGAGGATTTTAGTATTCTAAAATAAACAATAATAAAAGCAAACAAGAATTTAAAATATAAATAGCCCTCACCACGGTAGGCCTTTGACTACCAGATTTCTTTTCTCTTTTCCTCTTCTCTCCTGTTCTTCACTCCTGGACAGGTCTTCTTTCTTCATTAACCACTTGACTTGCAGGATCATCAGCTTGGCTCACTGGGTTGTTATCATTCAAGTTCTCAGTGGCTTCAGTGGCTTCAAAAGCTTCATGTTTCCAACTTCCTAAATAACAGTAAAATCAATTTGTCAAAAAAATAATAATAATTACAAACATAATTTGTAACATTTTACATATATAAAAATCCTTTACAAAATTCTTAAGTTGTCAAATATTAGTACTTACAGTGTTATGAGGCTGTCCTTTACATGTCCTTGAATTGTGCCCTGTTTTGAAGCATTTTTTACAAGTCATCACCCTTCCTTTCCTAGAGAGTGATGTTTGCCCTTCCTATTCTTCTAACACCCTTTTTTTTTTTGGTCGGCCTAGCATTTTCCTAGGCAATGGTGGCTGAATTGGGGGCATTCTAGTTTCCTTCCACTGTGGCATCCCCTCAATACAAGGAACTTCATATTCGTAACTTGCCAAGAACATATGCTTGCTATACCAGTGGCTTACATAGTGTTCATCTTTTCCTTCCTCAATTTAATGACACTTACAGCACGCTTACAAGGTACGCCTGTCATGTTCCAGCACTTGTAAGTACAAGTCCTCCTGTTCATATCAACAATAAATTTACCCTTGTCTTCTTCTTCAACCTCATAACCAGCGCCACCAGGCCATAGCACCCTGCATCTCTTGCTTCCTTCCCTACTTGCAACAATCTTCTCCAATATTTTAGGACCAAAATCACCAACAAACTTCTCATCTGCAAATGTCCTTCTAGCAACAGTCCTCCTACCACACATCATCCTAAGATCTTCAAGCATTGAGAAAATAGCCTTGTGCCTTGAATCAACAATTAAACCATTGAAAACTTCACACATATTGTTGTCAACTACATCTGACTTATTGTCTTCCTTGAAGAATGCCTTTGACCAAAACTGTGGGTGTACTTTTAAGACTGCAGCCCTAGTTCTCTGTTTAATGTCGGTCAATTCACCCAATGCCTTAATGAAATCAGCTTTAGTGGTTGCCTTTGCGCATTTCCAGAATGCTCTCTGTAGCTCCTTCCCTCGGTTATCCTTTCGGAAGTTGGCATATACGTGTCTTGCACATCTTCTATGTTCAGCATCTGGAAACAGCTCTTTAATTGCATTTAGTAGCCCCTGCCATGCACATTATAACGTAATAAATGCCAGACAATTGGATAAAAATAAAATATTACTACAACAGAAGGTCCCAACTTGGTCCCTGCACTTTAAAAGTACAGGGATCAAGTTGGAACCTTAGTTAAAACAAAGAAACAAAGCTAGCAATAACCTTCTGTTGGTCTAATATAAATGTGAATCTATTGCCACTACCAATTTGCATATCTGATTGCAGTTCTTCCAGATACCATCTCCAAGTCTCTGTCTTCTCAACCTCGACAACTGCCCATGCTAATGGGTACATCTGATCGTTGGCATCCCGTCCAACTGCCACCAGCAAAACTCCTTTATATGCTCCCTTAAGAAAAGCTCCATCAACCCTTATTACACGCCTACAGCCAGCAACAAATCCAAGTTTCATAGTGCTGAAACATACATACATTCTCATAAAAATAGGATTTACATTTGTTGTTGGCCTTGGTGCCTGAATGAGAATTGTGGCTCCTGGATCTCTTCTCCTCAGCTCAGCAGCTAGTCTCACAGTTTATTATATTCCATCAAATAATTTCCTTCAAACACACGGGCAATTTTCTCTCTTGCCTTCTTGCATTGTTTTCCAGTTAACTTCAGCCCAGTGTTTCTCCGGATGGTTTGAAAAATGTCATCTGCTTTCAAGTAAAGAGAAGCAAAACCCATCTTCTTAACCAAATACTTTGATGCACTTGTTGAGTTGAATCTCTTACTTGTCAACTCCTCACCACAAGTATGCTCATGAATATATGTCTTCACCATCCAAGAATTTGTCACCGCATTCTTTGATAATAGTATTTTCCAATCACAGCTTGGGGCATGTTTGCAAACAGCCCTAATCCGTTTGTTGTCATTCTTCTTCCATTTAATATCCCTCATTTGCATCATGTTGCATCTATCAACAGTAGCTTTAAAATGTGCCTTGCTCACAAAAATCATCCCAACCTTATATCTGGAAGAGCATCTTCAACTTCTTCATAAACAGCGTGTGTAGCTCTCCCCCTAGAAGCATGATCAGCATTACTTCCATCATCTTCATCAGTAGAGATGCAACTATATTCTGCATCACTTTGCATTTCATCACCATCATCATGGATTGCTGCAAGAAGGGTACTAGGACCTGCTGTATTCACACCTAAATTAATTGAATTTACATACAATATATGAAAACATAACCAAAACACAAAAAAAAAAAAAAAACATTACAACTGTGAAAAGATAATGACATACCACCATCATGATAGGAACTAGGTCCTGCATTATGCTCTTGAAAATTATAACAAAAGGACTTGACCTTCTTTTTGGCCTCCATAGCCTCCTCATCTTCATTATCTGTTAACTCAGGGATATCCATAACAGGATCATAATGCCCTTCATCACCTTCTGCCTCTTTGTCCCCATCGAGATCATCATTATGGTCATCAGCCACATTATCACTTTTTGATGCACCTGCACGTTCCTTCTCAATACCAGCTTCATCTTCCTTCTCGACACCAGCTTCATCTTCCTTCTCTAACCAAACACCTTTTGCAGTAAAATCTTGTCCAGGTTCATAATAATCCTCAACTACACTCTCCTTTTGGCTTTCCTCCACACGAAACTCACCATCAACCCCCTTACCATGAGTAACACCCTCAGTCTCAACCCCTTTACTACCATTATCAGTTTCTTAACCCTTGTTTGCATCATCGCCAGGTGCTGGTAATGCAAGAAATTGTTCAACCATAAAAAGGAAATCTGGTATATGAATTACATATATGTGAACCTTATTGTGAACCCTCAGTATGTCCAAGATTTCTCTAATTGAAGCATCACCTATTACTTGCTTCAAGCCATCACTGAGTGTCTTTCCAAGTTCCAAATATCATATATGCTCTACCATATCTGGATCATAACGTGTTATTGAAATCTTTTGGAACAACTCCCTCACAGTTAATTTATCTATGTCTACATGCCAATCCCAACACTCTCCATCAACATATTTAAGTCCATTATCCTGTTGTATTAACCTACCACCTATATGAATAAACAGCACATGCTTCTCGATCCCCCAATCACCCTATTCAATAATGCAAATAAAAAATTCAATATTTTACATAATAAGTGCATCTCAACGACTAAGTTTAACGATAATAAACAATAAAAAACAGCAATGAATTATAGAACCTTATTGCTTCCATACAGGTAAACACACTGACCCATGAATAACACATAAGGTGGGGACCAAATGCCCCTTTTCAGAAACCAAGTCAATAAACAGATATTCGAAAACCCCACTTTACCCACTTTCTTACTGCACTCATTAGACACCAAGACAATAACAAGACAACCCCACCCATTAAGCATAACCTTCACACATCTCGAAAGAAGATTCATGGACAAAAAGCGTACCTCATTCCCGCTGCCATCTGAATCCCCTTCTAGGTCGATATCTATGATTTCTGTAGACATTGCTTCTCATTCAACGATCGATCACGACAAAGAGTAAGAAGACTCGATTGTAAGGTGAATCGACAGAAAAAGAATAGATATTGCTTTGTTAGGGATTGTTTTTAAGACAAAAATAGAAAGGAAAAAGGAACAATCGATTTTAGGGTTTTAAAAAAAAAAAATTTAAACTTCCCCTTTGTCTGAGATTGGAGTTTTTTTTTTTTTCCTTTTCCCGCGCGGGAGAGTGACGTGGAGTGTGACTTGGAAGGTGTTAGAAGTCCAC